GTGGAAACGAGAATATTTCACTCTTTAATCAAAGACATCGAAATTGCTTTTCTTCGTCGTAACACGGTAGGTAGCATGACTTTAACGGGAGAATCCACCACGTGGCCAATCACCAACACCGTCAAACCAGCGAGATATCTAATGGTCGGTTTCAAAAACTTGCCAGACTCTCAGACAAACAACAACAACATTTTCAGAGTGACATTGAACCATACTCAAGATCCCATCATTCGCAAAGTTCAAGTCAGATTGAACAACGATAATTATCCCAATCAACCTTTGACAATTGATCCTTCCAAAAAAAATTACAACGAATTGTACAGAAACTATAAAAACATGTGCGAATTGTTTGGAAATACGCCTCAGTTTGAATACACAGATTTTTCACTCAATCATCCAATCTTTTGTTTCGATCTGTCAGCTCATCAAGAAGATCTTTTCAAAACAGGGGTGAACATAAATATTCACATCGATAAAACACAAGGAGATGTGACCGGTTACTGTTTATTGCTGGAAGAAGCAAAACATTTGATTAAAATATCAGATAGAAGAATGATAAGAATTGAATAAAAAAACACTCTTTAAAAATGAAACCAGAAACTTTAGTTATGAAAATGGAGCTGCTGGGATAGTCAAAGCTGCCAACGCAAATAAAGCAGCTGCAGTAAAAGAAGCTGAAGAACGTAGACACAATTTGGCAATGGAAAGAGAAGCACGAGGTGGTTCGGGAATAGGAGATATATTAGGGACGGTTAAAGAATTCGGACAAAGATTTGGCGAAGAAACCAAGAAAACCGTTAAAGAGGGATTAAGCAAATTAATAGATAAAATCGACACCGGAGAAATGAAGGTCAAACACAAGGGTGTCGACATATTTTTTAAAAACATACGTTCGGGCGAGGGAATCTTCCTTTCAAAGTATAAAGGCAACGGGGTGATTTTTGGTACGAAAATGTAATAAATAAAAATGGGCAAGAAATTTAATCATTCGGAAATATTTCCTAATAACCCAATGCTCATGTGTATATGCGGTAGTTCAGGTTCTGGGAAAACTCATCTCACTTTTAACATGTTGACAACACCAAACCTTTTAGATTTCGATTCTCTGTATATCTACACAACAACACCAGAGCAATCGTATTATCAATTCCTCAAAGCTTTGGAATATTTACCAAAGAAAGACGTTCAAGACATATTTCAATATTACGAAGAAAACGAAGAAGAAGTGGAAATAAAAGATATCATAGAAAACTTCATTAAATCAAAGAATCCATCTTTCAATCCAACGGATATAAAAGTTTTTCTGACGAAAAATGTTAATGATCTAGACTTGTCTAATATTGATAGCAATCGAAAGAACTTAATATTGTTTGACGACTGCGTAGCGCAAAGAATCAAACTGTTAAAAGTTATTGAGGAAGAGAAATCAGACGATTATGCAGAAGATTATCCACCAATCATACAAGAAATAGACGAATTCGATGATATGGTGGCATCTGGACAAGGTATAACGTTTTTATCCGACGACAATAAAGAAT